AAAAAAAAAAAAAAAAAAAAAAAAAAAGAAAGAAAAAAAAGAATAAAACGTGTAGGGTTGGAAAGGAGAAATGTAATCGGTTTTATATCAAGCTATTAGATAGAACTTTAAATTTTCATTGTGTGCATTTTTGTAAATTGTACAGTAAAAAAGGAAACAAAAAAGACAAAAAAAATACTCTTTATGTAGAAAATTAGTCCAATTGTCATTCCAGGTCCCACTGTTTCTATTGAATGCTCCAGTTGTTCACTACTAAGTGCCTAACCTTTGAAATCTCTCACAGCGACGATGCAACCTCTTGCTTCAACGCATCAGAACTTGGGGAAGGAAGCTGGGGGGAGGTGAAAGGAGGAGAGCCTGGAAGAGTTGTTTATCTCAGATAATCTACTGTGCATATGATACCACTTATATGTTTAATGGACAGTGTTTTCAAGTAGCCAGGTTGGAAAATTACAAGGGGGAGTAGGGGGTAAAACCATTTTTAAAATAATTTTATTGCTGGGATGGGAGGGGAATAATAGGGTCAAACAAAACTGGCCTTTTCTCATTGACTAGAATTTAGGGTCCTGCAGGAGAAATGCAGGTAAAAATATAGCATCAGCAGTGATGCTTTCACAGAAAATTAAGAGACTTTCACACTGCATGTCTAGTCTTAAGTTGCTTGTGAAAGTTCTGCAAATTTTTCACGGTGCATAGTTTGTATCAAGGGCAGTTGGAGAGAGCCTTGTTGTTATTGCCTGTTGGGGAAGAAACTGACTCTCAGGGATGAGATTTCTGTATGCTTATGATTATTCTTATGTTGGATTGTTTTATTTAATTTTAAGATTTTAGTTCTTTTTTTGTGCACGAGTGCAGATTTCTGGGTTTTGAGCCTAGGGGAAAGATGCATATAACAATAGTGGGAAGAAGTGCTAAAGAAAAACTGACAGAACCTTCTGCAAATGGGTTTGAAGAACAGCCATGTGGCTGTTTTTGGACATAGTGTGACTGGGGTTACTGCAGAGGATGTGCATATCACACTGGGAGAAGCAGAGCGTGGGAAAATGCATAGATGCCAACGACTGAAGAAGTTTTGATAAGAATACTGGCAGGGTTTAAGAGACAAGACATAGTGGGATGGCTGGGTAGATCTACCCAGCCCCAGGACCCTCAGCCTGGAGAATAAGCAGTCACTGCGGAAGAACAGCAATCTTGATGGGCCTTGTTTTGTTTTGTTTTGTAACTAAGTTCATATAAAAGGTATGTCATATTTTGGAAAAGGATGCAGAAAGCATCTGGAACTATTGACAAAGCCCTTCATCACTGGAAGGAGAGCAGGACAGGTGTAAGATGGTTCTCCACATTTTGAGACTTTATGTTGAGAAAAATCAACCTTGCGTTGTTTTGTTTTATAATCTCTTCGGCTGATCTCATCCCTGAATTCTGCTAAAAGATAATTCCTATTTCTATCTATATCTTTATATTTATGTGCACTTTGAATAAAGGAAGTGCATTAGCCTAGAAATACATTATGGATAATGGATGTAATTTTTAAATGTAGGGCTATGCAACAAGATGACACTTAAGGAAACAAATCAAAACAAAACAAACAAATGAAAAGACCTTCATCCATTCTGTAGCTTTACCTGCTGGACTTTCCTGTTTCAGGCTTCAGCATGATTGTGACCAAATGTTTTATACATTTTCCTTATATGAAGGCACAAACATTTTCTTTGAAATTTTAAAGAAAGCATTACTATTTTATTCCAAGAAGTAAAGGAGGAACAAAATATCTCTGATAATGCATGCAAACATTGTACCCACATTGGAAAACAAAAGGAAATGTCTTTCTGCATTTAATTATTTTGTCTTTTCCTCCACTCTTGCCTTTCCCCTTCCGAAACCATTTTAGATATTAAAAGTCACAGCCCCATATAAATAAGATGGCTGGAATCATATAGCCATTGTTGGCACTGGATCATTTAAATACTTGTATAAAAGATGAAGAATATAAAGTTGTCTAATCTCCACTCTTCTCGCAGGTGGTGTTGTTTCAAATGACGATGACAATGACAGACAAGCCTGACCACAGTTGTTCATAACCCCCTTTCCATATTTTACAGCCTCTATGCTGTCTCTCAAATGCATACATAATATTTCCCACAATTCTCATAGTGAGTTGCCAAACTTCAAATGCACCAACCAGTTTTCTGCATCCAGAACCAGTCTAGTAGTGGCTGTACTTTGAATAAGTAATGTTTGCATGTAAAATATATACATATATATATATACATATATATATATATAAAGTATGTGCATGGACAATGTTTATCTTCGTACTTTTTTGATACAATGTATTCATCAGTTGTTAATTTTTAATTATATTTGATATAAATTGGGGGTTTGTTGCAAAACTTTATATTTAAAAAAAACAGTGTTAAAAATGACAAAAGTTCCAACCATGCAACACAACTGGAGCTTTACAAAAAAAAAAGGTTCTGTGATTGCCTAGTTTGCTGCCTGAGTAATATTTATCAGCCAAACTTTGAATTCTGCAGTTGTTTCTACAATTACATTTTGTATGAAGCAAAGTCCTTGAATTAAAATAAAAACTTAGCAAAAAAAACCTTACAGATCCACAGGTGTGTGTGCCGCATGCATAGTGACTGGGAGACCAGTATCCCAAATACATTCTTGGCTCGAACGGTCTTGAAAGGAAAGAGCCAATATTAGGCAATTTGCCTTTTTAGCTTGAGTCCTGTATTAGCAGGTTACAATTTCTGGAGTTAAATATGTAGAAAGATTGCAGTGCTGGGATTGAATGCTGTACAGAATTGATTGTATCTGTGGTTGTTCTGATGCTGTCAACACAGGTTCTTGGGTTTTTTTGGTGACCTGTTTTTGAATTTGATGTTTCAGTAGGAAGGTTATCACTGGAGTCCAATATGCAGCAAAATTGCATTACTGAGTTTCAAAGCTATAAGAAACTAACCACTGGTTGTTCCTTGCAGATGTATGGATGGGTGGATGTTGCTGTTATGGAGCTACAGTAGTTAGGCATGTAAGTCCTATTAGCATTAACCCATCAACTGCAGTGCTGGACCCCCTCCTCCCCACTTCCAGCAACAAACCCCCATACAGCTCTTTCAAATATTCATTCCCAGAAAAGTCAACAGAGCATCAAGGCATATCACATCTGTTTGGCAGTGTGAGATGTTCACGTCACAGGACCAACATACCAAGGTAATATATAGTACTTGTAAAGCACTTAATGAGCGTAGTTTGTATTTCTCTGGCTCTCAGAGCTTGTATTTCTGCAGAAGAAAAATCCAAGGAATGTTTGTAAATATAAACGAACATCCACAAATGCCTTCTTTTCTTCTGGCAATGGGACAATCTCCCTCCTCCCTTTACTAGCTATGTAAAGCTCCCAGGCCAGGTTCTGACATGGTGATACATCTGACAACCCTCCACAAATGTCACCTGTCCTAATTCTCAGCACTGAAAACGTATTTACAACAGAAAGGAACTTCAGAAAGGAGAGGATTGTTTGAAGATCACAATTTAAGGATTTCAAGATTCATTTCTTCTTCCTCATTCCCTACCCTCTCTTCCATTTATTGTGTGTTCAGGTAGTACTTTGAGCCTCCAGCTGAGATTTATGGCAATAAGTGCTGGCCAGGGACAGTAATACATTATCTGTGCTTCAAAGAGCTTACGATTTCAGTTGACAAAGACAGACAGTGATTCGCACAGCCTGGCAGTGGCAGAGCCAAGAACAGAATTGCATCTTTTGACTCCTGGTCAAGATAGTTAATGTCCCATTAGTCCATTAGCTGTCTTATTGACTGCCCCAAATATTCAAGTTTTGGGTACTACATACCCCAAACAATGGTCAGAATTTGAGGGATTGTGGCATATTTTCTTACCTCTCAATGTATCTGACCAGCAGGAGTGGAAAGAACAACCAGCTGGTTATTCTGAGACCTGGAAGTCAATCTACACTATTCTTACCTCTAAGGAAAAATCCCATGGAATGCATTAAGAAAATAAATTGTTTCCCTATAGAAAATAATGAACAAAAGATGAGGTCCCTGCTATAGAGTAGTTCCAAATAAACTAATAGAAGCTATATTTGCTATTAAAGTGCATACAGCTTTAGCATAATTTTTATAAAAACTACTGGGTTCATCCCTATTACGTTCCAAAGGAGTAAGAGATTTGTACAATACCGCATAGCAATGCACTTGAATGAGGTGGTCTGTAGTTCGAGCCTGTATCTCTGAATCTAAAAGCACATGCCTCTACTGCCTAAGCTATAGGACAAAGTCCATCTGTTCAGCTCCAGCAGGAGATACATGAATCACAGCAGCTGTTCCCCTGCTGGGGACTGTATTATGAATGCCGGAGTACCACAGCAGGCCTGAACTTGACATTCTTAATATTCCTAAGGCAAACAAGTGACCTCTCTCACCTCCTTATCGCTGGAATATGCATTGGGGCCTTCTTATATCATAAGGAAACAAAGGGGGAGAGAAGCATAACCCACCTTTGCAGGTCAGTCTTAAAAAAAATTGTCATAAATTCATGCATCTGTTGTACAGAGAAGTCTGTATTATGACCCTAAATAAATGTGTAATGTGGGTTGTTTTATAACCCTTTATTTACTAAATGTACAATAAAACATGAAAAGAGTTCCGAGGGGGTCCACATATAATTTGGAATTTTGTATTTACAGGCAGATGAAATATCAATGCAATTTACTTGGTACCAAATGGTATTTCTATTTACATACAGGTGCCCATAGATTTCCATTAGCCCCTGAGAGTGGTGTCACACGTTCAACTTAACACTTGCTAACTGCAGTTGAAGTGCAAGCAGATACATGTTCAAGTGGTTTAGCATGTGTTACGTGCCCTCCTGGCGCTGCGAAGTTATTCCCTTT